GTGTCGATGCAGCCGTTTCTCTCAGATCTCATCCTCTCTGGGTGAACTCAGCCCAGTGGGCACCCCGGGAGTGGGGCGCTCCCCGAGTTCCCCAGCCAGCTCCACCGCCGCCATCCTCAGTGGGCAGTGCCGGCCCAACACAGGCAGCTGCCCGGCCGGGAGCCAGAGAGCGGGGGCAGTGCCCTCCTCCCTTCTCTCCTCGCTCCTGGGCAAAGCAACTTTTTTTTTTCTGGTTCCTTTGTCCCGACTTAAATAGGGAAATTCACAGAGGTGCCGATTGGCTCAACCCCGAGGGGAATGGGAGTCCGATCTGGTGGCCAGAACCAGGTCTGACCCGGTTCCAAAACCAGGGAGGTCACAGGGAGCAAAGCCCCTCTCCTGCCACCAGAATCCCCCCCCATCAAACCATGACAGCTTTTAATTCAGAAGGACTTATGTGAGTTTGCACAGGTGAAATGATGACTCAGGTTATTGCGTGTGCACAGAGGGCAGGGAAAGCACTTTCCATCCTATTTTAAATCAAGGATTCCTTATGATCCATCAGACACTGCTTTCGCCTGAGGAAAAAAAAGTGCTCTTTTTATAAAACTCCTTTGGGTTTCTGTTGAAATAGGTAACTGTTGATGTGCAATCATGTGTAATCAACATAGCATTTTTAATGCTGATACAGATCCTGAAAGCTTTTGCAAACCTTAATTGATTGGTTAACATGCCTCTAAAGGAAATGTTTAACCTAAGTGTATTCATTTAATGGAGAATGAAAGCAGTCAGCAGGGAGCCATGCATTGATTTGGTCAAAAATGGGGAAGAGAAACTGGAAGTTCTTGCTTGTGCTCCTGCACTCAGTCCAGTAGACAGACATGCCAGTGTGATCACTGGAGAAAGATAGGGCCATTGTGCAGGCTGACTGGAAGTGGACCTTATTGTGTGTCAAAGTGAAGCATCCCAAAAGTTAGGCTTATATTTGGCGCTTCCTTTGGCCGTTTCACTAAAGCTTTAGCACCACCTATTAACATAGACACCAGCTGAGTTTGACTTTCATGACTTTGTTGGCATATTTTCTTTCTGTTCAATAACAAAGGCAAGAAAATTGCCTGTACAATTCCATAAAGTTAAAATATAACAATCTGTTGGAGTCATTAGGAACCAATTGATCAAATTAAGCAAGCTTTTCTACTGGGCTGAGATAAGCCAGTTTCCCACATTGCTTTGCCTTTTTCGTCGGTTGTGAAAGCCTGCCTCATCTCTCCTAAATCTGACATCCTCTTTATAATTAGACATCACGGAGCCCTTTCAGAACTTCATCAGTTGTCTTTGAGCATTTCAGGAAGGATAAGTGACTCAGCAGCAAATCTGCTCCGGGAAAGGAGACTTCTCTGAAATCTAAGGTTCTGTGCCCCCTAGGGGTCCTTTCATTTCTTTCTTAATAGCTATAACTGCTGTGGGAACCAATCAGATTATTGTTTCCTAATTGTATAATTTGTTATTCATAATTCATGACTGACAGGAGGGACAATGTGAAATTGTTCCATCTCTTTAAGATCGTCTGTGAGTGTCGTCGTTTGTGTCTAGGCTGCTAAATAGAAGAGTGCCAGGGACCTGAGCCCTCGCCTGAGCCCGTCACACAAACTGGCTGGTGTTCCCATTGCTGAGGGCTAGTCTTCACTGCTGCAGATTTCTCTTGGATAGTGCAAACTTGAAGCAGTCCAATGCAGTGAGGGTATTAGCTAACAGTTACCAATGAAGGACCCAAAACAAGGCCTGTCCTGTGGCCCTCTTTCATTTCTCAGTGAAGAAACAGCCAGTGCAGCTAATGGGAAGCTTTATTAATGTTTGAAAGCCATGGACTGTTATTAATTGTGTTATGCAATTGTATTAATTGTATTATGCAATCATGAACTTTAAGTTCTATTATTTAGTACATTCTATTCAAAATTTATTTTGATTAAAAGACATAACTATACACTTATGTATATATACTAATACTTTGTTTTAAATTTGTTAATGTCAGTTTTTAAAATTATTCTTTGCAGGTGCCATGACTGCGGAGCTATTCTCGAAGAATATGATGAGGAAACACTAGGCCTGGCCATAGTTGTGCTCTCAACCTTCATTCACCTTAGTCCAGACTTGGCTGCTCCTCTGCTGTTGGATATCATGCAGTCTGTAGGAAGGTAAATTCAGAACTTTCCTCGCTCTCATATGGTGGAAAGAATTTTGTGCCTGGAATTGAGTTTGCATAAACTTCACTATATGAAGTTCTGTATTTTAGACCTCTTAAGTGAATAACATCTGGTTTTGTCTGCTTCTCTGTACTCATCATTATCCCAATTTCTTATGTAGCTTCTTCCACTGGCACTTCAATTTTGGGCAGCTCCTTTGATGTCCTCTCCTTTTGCTCTCCGAAGGGAGATTCCAGCTCAGAATCTCCCCAGCTTGTCCCACTGTAAGCAGTGATGTAAAGAATTAATTCAATTTTTCTGATTTTATCTTCCTTGAGTATCTGTTTATTACCTGAACAGCAATTGATGCAGCATACTGTCTGGTGTGCCTCTTGATCCTATTTTATTTCAACAAAAATTTACTGTTAGTTTTTATTCCTTCTGCTACTTGCTCCTTGAAGCATTTTTTTGACCTGCCTTCTTATGATTTTTACATTGAGTTTGTCAGAATTGACCTCTTTTCTGCTTTTATTTGAGACATGACTTCAGCTTTTTGAAAGAAGCCTTCTTTTTTCTAATAACTTCCCTCACCTTACCTTTCTTCTGCTCTCTTGAAGTCTTTCTTAACAAGTGGGATACCTTGGCCCTGTGCTTCCTATGTAATGTTCTTAAACAGCTTCTGTGCTTCTTTGTGAAGACTGAATTCTCTTGGCTACCCCTTTTTCCTGCCTTGACAGAATTTTCCACTTCTATGTAGTTCCAGCTTTAGAAGTTATGCACAAATGTGGTCAGCTTTTCTGAATTTTGCTGCTTCTTGAAGACTGACTCCTGGGTATGATCATTCATTAGCATACCTGAAGCTCTTCGGGCTTTTCAGCCATATTTTGTATGCTGATTAAGACTAAGAGTTGCATCTCCTTATGAGGGCTTCCTAACCAGGTGCTGCATGAGATTGTCTCTGATAAGGTCTCAAACATTTGGTGCCTGGTGTTTTTTTTTTTCTCTTGTGACTTTTACCCAATGTGCATGGGATAACTGAAGGGCACTATTAGTATTGTATTACTTGTCATTGCTGTCTTGGCCACTTCCACAACTTCCTGCCTAAGAGGTGGGAGGGATGTATTAAGGATGTTTCAGAATAAACTTCTGAGCAGCACTAGAAGTGCAGAAATGGTGTGCAGGTCTCCTTTTCCATGTTCTTTTCAGTGACTGAAGTTAAAACTGTTTGACTGTGACTTGTGTTGGGCCATGGCTCTGCACAGCCCTGCCTTTCCAGTACCTCCCAATTCCATTTAAACACAGCAGCTATTCAACTCCTCCATTTCCATTAATTGCAAGGCTGCAGTTCCCTGCTGTCACTGCTAATGAACTCTGATGGAGGCAAAGTCTCTAATCTAGGCAGATGCTATCCATTCTGTGTGATTCTTGTAAAAACAGCAGTACTACAGCCACAGAGAGTAAATCATTTAGAAGACAAATTATCAAGGGATGAGGGCCAAGTGGGCTACACTTTTTCTGTGTTCTTCAGCCTGGAGAAGAGGAGGCTCCGGGGTGACCTTATAGCGGTCTTCCAGTACCTCAAGGGGGCCTACAGGAAAGATGGGGAGAGGCTGTTCAGGAGGGCCAGTTATGATAGGACAAGGGGTAATGGTTTTAAAATAGAGGGAGGTAGGTTCAGGTTGGATATTAGGAAAAAATTTTTTACTATGAGAGTGGTAGAACACTGGAACAGGTTGCCCAGAGAGGTGGTAGATGCTCCATCCCTGGAGACGTTCAAGGCCAGGTTGGACAAGGCCCTGAGCAACCTGATCTAGTTGGAGATATCCCTGTTCATTGCAGGGGGGTTGGACTAGATGACCTTTGAAGGTCCCTTCCAGCCCTAACCATTCTATGATTCTATGATTCTAAATGCTGCATCTTTGCAGTAAGACAGCTGATTACTTTAGAGCAGCAGATGGCATGCAACATGGAGTGTTCCTGGTAAATGTCCTGCATTATTCCTACTGGCTGTCATTTCTGACAAATTCCAAGTCCAGTAAGAGGCTTCCCACAAACAGATTATTTTGAATACATGCAAAATAAGTAGCATATACAAGCAGAGACACATTCAGGTGCCTCATGTATATAACCTAAGTCGCTGTCTTTGATCAAGCAGTGCTGTATCATTACCTCCAAGTATTCATCTGACAGCAGAGGTGAGAATGAATTAGACTTACTGCATTTTTATTCTTAGAAAAAAACTCTACTACTTTCATGCTTAGGAGAGGAAACAAGGAGTTAGGAAATCCAGTGTCTTCCAGAACACCTAAACAATACACAGAAAGATTTTTAAAAGTTACTTGGGTACCAACAGGTACAAATAGGCATCTGTAGGGAAGAGAAAAAGTTCTAGGTTCAAGTTACTGACAATTAGAGATCGACATGTTTATAAAAGACTCTGGCATGCACTTAACTTTGTGCTGTAGTTCCTGAATCAAGATATTTGACTTGTTGATTCTCATTCCATTGATTTCCAGTGACATTTAGCTTTCCAAGCATCAAAACCCTGTGAAAATGGAATTTAGGCTCTTGAGTTAGTGAGGAGCTTTGAAAAGCTTAATTTCTGTTCTTAACAGGTACAAATTTGAACACATCCATTTACTGCCTACTGTCTGTTTACTGTTCTGCTTTGTGGTCTGCAAAGTGGAGGTAATGGTGAGGATTCATGGCCTATGTGCAACAAAATATTTAGAGTAGTAATGATGAGTACATACAAGCTGTAAATTTCAAAAAGTTTCAGATGTTCCCAAGTGTTTAGTGTAGTTCATGTCTCATGAAGTTTTTCCAAAGTTAAAACCCAAATGTTTTGTTTATCATGAAAACCACACTTGCATTAGTCCTTTCAAAAGAAGAGAAAAACTTTACATAGGACACTGATTTCTTGTAGAAGAAATATTTTATGCTGTTGTGTTTGTATGCTTCAGTAGATTTGTGAAAATAAGTGTAATGTCCATTGGGCATTTGATTAGTCTCATTGCGTTCTGCAGAAACCCTCGTGTGCTTTAATGTAAACAGATACTACAGTTACTCCAGAATCAAGATCTTTATTGCTTGAAGGTGGCTTCAGACCTGTTTTCACCTAGAATTAGCTTTGCACAGCAGAATTAATGTTGTATTTTACTGTGGAGACCTCTTAACAACAGTGGACTCAGGGACTCTAATGAGTTTTTCTGATTTATCCTGAGACAACTGAAGAGAGTATAATCTTCAATCCGCTGCACCATCCAGCCTGAGATTATTGCACTGTTGAAAATACGCTGTGTCCCCGGCTTGTCATACATCGTTAATGAAAATCACCATCCATTTTCATTTACACCGATGCGTTGGGCTGAGCTGCCTTAGAGTCCTTTTGGATTTTGCAGTGGTGACTAGAGAGGAAACTATCTTCAGAACAGAGGATGACAGAGGATTGAGCAACAGCTAAATCCAGCCTAAAAGGGTTGTGAATCAAAGATGAACATTGAAGGCCAGATAATCAGCAGATGTAAATTAGCATAGCTCTATGAAGCTTCCGTTTAGACATACCAGCTTGTACCAGCTAAGATACTGATGCGCAGCAGATGAAAGTAAAAATTGCATAGTGTTTTGTATGTAAGAGATGCTTCCAGTGTACATCTTTGTAATTCCTTTTTAGTGGCTTTTAGTAGTAAAGTTGTATTGCCTTGATATTATAAACCCTGATTCTATTTGTTTACATGTCCTGGCTATTGAAGTGTATGATTTTGCTTTAAGATTGCGTTCAGTATTTTCATCAGTGAATGCCTACATTTGGCTTCAAAGTCTTATATTTAGGTACTAAAATAAATGATCTGATTTTTGAGAACCTGATATTTCTTATCTGACTTTGTAAGAGCTTGTAGGTACTTAGTGTTTTTGAAATTAGGCCAGTTATTTAGGTGGCAAAATCTGGAACTAGAAGCCTCACTTCGAACTGCCAAGTAGAGAATTTTGGCTTAGTCTATGTTGCGGTGTTGATCAGAAACAATTCAGTCAGTAGGCAACTTCTGGCAAACTTTTTTCTCCAAATCCCTCTAGGTTAGTAATTATCCATGATGTGCGTGTAAGGCAATAGCTTTACTCATTCTTGATGCTAGTACAGGGAGGCAAGTAGAATTGTCTTTAGAGCTGCTAAGTATTTGTGAGACTGCAAGACTGAATAGACTTTCTGTGTCATGCAAATATGATTTGAATGAATTTATGTGCTTTTCAGAAGACTGTTCTGGTGCTGTTTTAAACGTTCTTTAAAATTCTTGTTTGTTATTTAAAGAAAATGATACTTTATTGGCTAACTTAAAAATGAAACATAAAAAAACATTTGAGCTTCACTTTTTTTTTTTATTTTTATTCCAGGTTGGCATCAAGTACCAGTTTTTCTAATCAAGCAGAAAGGTATGGTAGCAAAGGATACCTTGGCCAAAATGAAACAATTAATCAAAAGCATCATCCTCCTTGGCCCTGAAATCAACTAAATTTAACTTTAAAAAAAAATTTACTTAAGATTTGTGAGTAAGAGGAAAAACTTGTCCTTTCCCACTTGTTTCAAATACCTTGTGTGTACTGAAGATGAGCAGGAACCCATATTCATGTGTATTGAACTTGAAAACACTCAGATTCAGATGTAATTTAAAGATGCCTTCTCATTTCCACAATCTCAGTGAAGCTCTTTCTAGCTTGTTCTGTGTTCAGTGTTCGTCTTGATAAACTATCTCCATACATTCAGTCAAGTGAATTATCCTGGGCCATGGAGAACCCATGGTAGTGATGTCTCATCATGTAAATGAGATGCTGAATAGAGTAAATTCATTTTGAGAAGCTATAGGAAATGTTAAGATGTGCAGTTTATGAGTAAATAGATAATGCTTTAGCTTTATAAATGAAATCATTCTATTTTATGAGTGATTAGGAAGTACTTAATCTCTTGAAGGAAACTGCAAGAGGCAAATTAATATATAATGTGTTTACCAGTTGTTCATGTGTTTTATGGTAAAGCCAAGAACCTCATCCTGTACCACTGAAATGCACAAGGTGAGAGCAGGATTATATTTCAAACTCAGATGACTCACAAATAAAACTATGTGGAGAATCAGGAAAAATACAGCTATTTATTGAGACTTAAATACTTAGGTATATGTACATAATTTTTTCACCTCTGCAGTCGAGTTGAAGTCATAAAATCAGCTTGCTGACCTGTTTTTTGGGATCAGGACAGTTCTGCTTTTGACTGGCTCTCTCATAACTGGACACTTCCGTAATCAAAAAGAATAGAATCATCTTTATTTTCACCATGTAGTCAGCTTTGAAAACTGTTTCATCTGCAATGCAATTTCTTTCTCCTTGCTTGTCCTTCCCTTCATTTCAGCATGATGATCCCAGGAAATGCTGCAGGTGTGGCCAAGCAGTTTCTCCGTTGTGTGTTCCATCAGCTGGCTCCCAACGGCATCTTCCCCCAGCTCTTCCAGAGCAATATTAAAGGTAACGTGCAGTATCAGTGCGTTTCTGACCCCTTCAGTTACCTCTGTATGGACAGCCAGCGCAAAAAATGTCATTTGAGTTTCAGATGGAAGTTTTTTACGAACCTTGGCCACATCTCTTATGGACTTCAGTGAGCTGAGTTCCGTTGCTGCTCTGAGCCAGCTGTTAGAGGTATGTTGGCAATCAGCTCTGTTAACGGTGCTAGTTTTATTAGCATTATTAGGCATATTGGATCATTTCTCCTTGTTCATTAAGAGTTCAAACTTGCATCACCAAAAGCAATGTGAATTTTTTTTGTCCTCCGTGGAAGCAGGATTAGGCTGTCCTCACCATTTTGCTTCTGAGTTTTGCTGTCATGGATAGTTGAGGTTTTTTGTTTGGTTGGTTGTTGTTTCGTTGGTTGGTTGCTTTTTTCCCTCCTCAAACCAGCTCCTGGAGCTGTCTTACACATTGGTAGTGTGGGTCCATCCCTTCCTCCAACGCTATTTCTGATCTTCAGGAACATTTCTGCTCATATATCTCAGTTCTCCCTCTCCCCCTGTATCTGAAAGCAGTTTCTCTAAGTAGTCCAAAGATTTATTGCCTGCCTTTCACTGACTGCCTTCTGTGCACTTGGCTTGTTTCTACTGTAGCTTTTATCCTCCCACTAGCACTAGTCACTTGCATGTATCCCACTATTCCAAGAGCATGGTGGTTGCTTCATACAAAGATTGCAACATCACTTTAAAACTGCTTATGTCTTTCCAGGCCTGACTCTTTTACACAAACCAAAAAAGCACACATGGTCTACTGAACATTAATGAACATATGTCGTTTAAAACTGTCCAAAGGAGAACATGGGCAATCCAGTGGTGAATACTTTACGAGTTCTGTTTTTTTTTTTTTTTACTGTCATGCCAGTCTAAGCAGGTTATGGGTTAGAACTCCGCTTATAACATTTTGGCTTGAAATCTTGTAGTCAATACTTTAGGAACTGAGTTAGACTTAACTGTCACATACACAGTTCAAATTCCCTGCACAACATCTTATCATTAGAATTATAGAAGAGGTAATAAGTATTTGATCTGAACAAATTAACCTCAGCATTTCCAAATACTGTTTAAGGACTATTTCCGTGTGTGTACGTTTGTTTACAGTTCTCGTTTTGTTTCCCAGGGTTTAAATAACAAAAAGAATTTACCAGCAGGGGGAGCAATGCTACGCTGTTTGGAAAATATTGCTACCTTTATGGAAGCCTTGCCGATGGATTCGCCCAGCAACCTCTGGACCACAATTAGTAATCAGTTTCAGACCTTCCTTACTAAACTCCCGTGTGTTTTGCCACTTAAGGTATGATGTATGGATGTCTGAAATGAGCTATACTGTCATTGGTCAGGATGTACCACATCAGTGGGAAAGCTGTGGATGAGAAATCAGATGTGGGTTGTTGTGAATATTTTCTAATGATTCAACTAATGTTTCTACAGGACTGGATTTATTGTATGGCTGATCTGTCCCTTTAATTATATTTTCCATGGTTAACAATAACAACTCTGACCAGAGTACTCTTCACCTCTTTGTTGGCTTTTTTCCTCTACAATTTCTGTGCCCTGTCTTTGTCAGATTAGAAAACTGCATTTGAGAGTATCAGGAATTTGGAAAAAAAAAACCCGTCTGATTTTAACTATTAAAACAAAATAAAACTCTCAAGAAGAGCAGCACCACCTAATTAATTTGCGTAAAGTACACAATAGTCAGACAGGCAGAGAGAACTGGGAATAGAGCCTAGCCTGTTTGGCTGACCAGGTTGTAGTTCTGGCTGTAATAGGAATATGGTTGCAGAAACTGAATCTAGAAGCTTTGAGCTCTGATTTCTGAGTGCTCAGAGGACGTACAGAGGGATCTTATCTCCTGGTACGTACATTTCCAGATTGCTTTTAAGAAAACACAGTAAAAACTTAGATTCTGAGTCTTTCCAGTAAACACAGGATTCTGATGCCCTTATTCTGACTTTGGTTCCTATGGCATGAAGGAACCCGGTGGTAATTTGTTCTGTGCAAAACAGTGTTGCTCAGGATGAGCTGAGGGATCAAAAAATCTAACTTTGTGACTTACAACATTGTCTTTTAAATTGGTTGTCAACACCAAATTACATGAATTATATTAAATTCCTTGCCACTATTATGCAATGCTCAGATCTCAAAACCTCTTTAGGTTTTGGTAAATTGAGGCACTATCCTGCAGCACTTACTAAGCCAAACAGGCAGTAACCATTCCCTTTGCATACTAGCCAACCTGATCTGTAGCATCTTGTCTAATTGAAATAAATGAAATGAATTGGATCTTAATAGTTCCAACTGCGTATCTGCTCTTCACAGAACGTTTAGATGGAGCGTTTACTCTGATTTCTCTTTTATTCCTGGGAGGTATCACTAGTGATACAAGTAAAACAATTGCTTGCTCCTAAACTTTCCATCTCCTGTTCCTTCCTCTAGGGTCATAAATGACTCTGCTGTTCTAGATGTTTGCAGCAGGGACAAGGCAAGACAATGGATAGACCCTGAAAAGTCCCATTCACTGCTGCAACCTGTGTGATTTACACAGAAGGAAAATCAGTTACACCATAAGGAACAACTTTAGAGGGGCCTCTGGAGCATCTGTTGCCAGGGTGCATTCTGATGTTATGGGGTGTGAGTTGTAGCCCTGTCTTGAGGTGTGGGGATAGTGTCAAAGCCTGTGGCAACCACAGAAATATAACATGAGGTAGATGAGGCGTACCTCCTGCTAACCCCCTCTTTTTTTTTTTTTTTTTCTTTTCTTTTTTTTTGTGGTCGCAAAAGGGGTAAATTTAACTTTTCTATACTAGCCCTTTAGTGAAATTTTCTGATCTCAAGGCCCATGCCGTGGTATGCTACCACTGAAGGAGTATGATTGTGTATTCAGGAATAAGCCAGTTTAGGCAAAGTAAGTAAAGATCAATCATCAGGGATAATTTTTCAGAGTTCATCTATAATTTATTCATAGCTGCTACCACTAAAACCAAGACTTACACAGAAAGGTACTAACTCTGTGTTGTTTTTTTTCTTATTTCTTCTTTTTTTTCTTGCCTTCAATTATATTCACAGTGTTCTTTAGATTCTAGTTTAAGAATCATGATTTGCTTGTTGAAGATACCCGCCACTAGTGCCACCAGGGTAAGTCCCAAGAAGCCAAAACTCTGTTACTGCAGATTTAGCCAGCCTGCACTGTTCTGTGAATGTGTTCTTATCCTCTAGCTAGGAAAGTATTATATATAAGCATAAAGTTGTGCAGTCCAATACTCTTTGGAGAATGATAAAGAGCTTTGGAATCTAGGTTACAGTACAGTGTGGGTGGGATTACATTCCTGTATGGGTGTGAATGTATATCTTCTTAAAGATTTCACGTTCTCTTTTTTTTTCCTCTGCTTTTTTTTTTTTTTTTTTTAAATATAGTAGTGAACTTCCTTGGAAGTTCTGCAGTACAGTTCCACTGAGATCAGTGAGGTTTTCCTCCATAAATGCTACAGAATCTCTTATATAAATCTCATAAGCAGTGTCAGAGGTGAAACTATTTTCCAATTTTTTGCTTCTAATTTCTCATACAATCATGAAGGCAAATGCTAGATAGAATAGCTGGTTGACTGAAACAGTGTAAATCTCAGCAAGATAGCCTCTGAGCTAAAAATAATGCTGTTCTATTCAGGCATTTCAGAGTTGGAATTTTTTGTTTAGTTTTTTGCTGAGCAGACAGTTATTGATTTCTCCAAATCATGTCATTGCAGAGTCTTCTGGAGCCTTTTTCAAAATTACTAAGCTTTGTAATTCAGAATGCTGTCTTCACTTTGGCCTACCTGGTGGAACTGTGTGGTTTATGCTACCGAGCCTTCACTAAGGTAACCATGAGATGATGTCTTCTTTTAGGGACAACTGACAATAGGACAAAGAAAGTCCTACTTCCCTCAAGTAGTATGTTTGTAAGTGAAGATGAAATCAGTGTCAAGTTTCAAACATGTCAACAGTTTTAACGCAGTTTGGCTAATCAAGTAGTGGTCAGTATTCAGTGCCTTTAAGTAATACTGAGTTTCACGTTCCCAGAATAGACACAGATAAAGAGAACCTTCTGAAAACATTGCTCAGAAAGTATTTTGATGTCATTTCATGACTGGGAAATTTTTTTCTCTTGTAGAGATGATACCTGGTATTCATGCATGACTTTAAATGCCTCTACAGTCATATCTTTCCTAGTGCACAGGTTTAGCCATATACCTTGAGCAGTAAAAGCTTAAATATTCCTGGTAGTGCCTTTTGAGAGCACTGCTACAAGGGCAGTCAACAGATAGCTAAGTAAAGTGGAAGACTCCAAGTTAGGAGCTTCCTAGCTTAGATCCAGTTTTATTCTGTATTAGTATCTCACTTTGGCATACATGGCTGTAAGCTGTGTAGAAAAGAGAACAGTATGTATGCACCTTTAAAAAGTTTTTAAAATTCCTGAATGAAAGCTATGGCGTACAAATAACACTCAGTTATTACTCAAGTTCATTTTTGTAGCTATTGGTGAGCAGTTAAACAACAAAATCCACAAAAACCAATCAAACCCCTTACTAAGGCACTATGTGCCCCATTATGTAGATTGTTAAGGTACTGAGCAAAAATGTTGCTTCAGCCACTAAGTGGACAGTTTTCCATCCTCACTGCATTTGTCTAAACAGTAATTAATCCTCAGGAAATGTTCTCTCGTAAGTAGCTACATGACTTTCTATATTGATAATGTACTACTGGAACACATGTTGCTTCAGTCTTGATAAGACTTAAAATATCACTGGACAAACAGTGGAGAAGAAATGGTAAAAGCAATGACACTGTCACAGAAATATTACACTGCAAGAAAATAAGAAAAACTTTTGCCATATGTAATGGTTTGAAGCATTAAATAGAAACTAACAGTATGTTTAATTACAGCAAGCAAATGCTACCTTTTTTGTCACGTTTTAAAGAGAAGAGTTTATGAAAGAAAAAAATCCTGAATACAGAAGAGACTGTTCAGTTTTTGGAAGTAATTTGAGTTAGATCTATAGCTACAGCTTTGAGCAAGGCAAAGTGAGAAAAATGTTAACTTAAAGTCCAACAGTGGGGTTTCTTCATTGAAACAAACAAAGCCCCATTTAAAACTGAAGCAAAGACATTCCTCTTGCACTTGTGTTCTGATAAGACTATTTCATGTTTGCCTGCTAAAGCAAGTTGTGATACAGAAAATGTTTCACTGCCCTCATGCTCCACAGTTTTTGTTGTTTAAAGAAAATTTTATTAAAACCATGGTATTAAAAACCCTCATGCTTTTCTTGCATGCTTCTTCGTTTGATGTTCTATTAATATATTGAGTACTTAATTGCACACAGGAAGCTTGGATTATAGCACTTGGTAAAATCTTCTTGATTTAGTTTAATGCAACCTAGTGACCCAGAAGTGGAATAATTAGTGAATGGTCTCCTGCAATTTATAGCCACAAAATGCTTAATTTAGTGTAACTCCACACTACATTATCTTTGTTATTTCTGAAAGCTTACCATGGTTTTGCATTAGAAATATCAATTTAATGACTTCTGTTAGGAAAAAAAAAAAAACAAAACAAATAATTTGTGATGTCTGTGTTTTTCTACAGTGGAAATCACTGTAGCCAAGTAAGAGTGTCTTTTGTGGTAGAACACCATATAGAAGTGAGTTCCAGAAGGAATATAATTTGTAAACATTTAAACTATTCAGATTTAACTACTTGTTTTGTAAATTTGAATGTGCTGGCTGGAACAAAACACCAACTTTCAGCTAAGCTATGGAGGATTCTTGTCTTTTCAAAGACCAAGCCACTCTAATGTGCACTTTGTAGAGGTCAGTGCTGTACAACCACTCCAAATCTTTTTTTATCTCTAATATTTTCCTAATACCCTGTGGCAGGAATATCTTGGTTTCTCTTGTCTTGGAGCCTGAAGACTCATGTCAATCTGATATTTCCTTGTCTGAGTTTCTGTTCCAGGTCAGCAATTTGATTTTTTTTTTTTTTTCAGTGCCTTTGGAACTCTCAGTTGAGAGTAGCATCTCTTCTGTGTATTGTAATCTTCTTTAGTTTTCCTTTCAAGTGTCTTAAGGTCCTAAATGGACACTTTTTGGCTTTCTTATCTCTTACAGGTGCAGAAGCTTGAACCTAAACTTAGCCTTTTGCAAGCTTTTTGTTGACCCTTATTAAGTAAATGCAGAATGCCACTGAATTGGATGTGACATGATTTTGCTATTGATTTTTTTAAAAGGAATATCGGAGTGGCTGATCTTTAGTGTTTGTAATTACTATAGTAGCAACAAAGATAAAATAAAGAGTCTTGCTTTATACTGGCTTACTTGGAGGATAGCATGCACTCCATTAAAGAACCAAATTTACTATTCTTAGTAATAAGTTTGGGCTCTGAGATACTGCTGGAAACAAACTTCAGTAGTTTATATTCTACACAGAGACCTCTGACAAGTCACAGTTTGAAGGTTGCAAGGCATTTTTTTATAGGGATGCATAGACATTTCAGAGGGTTAATTTGGCTGAACAGAGGCTAAAGGGGTTGTATTCTTGACTCTTTGGTACCAGGTTTACGCATGTGACTCTCCTGGGTGTTATTCTCACAGAACTACCTGTTTACAGCTCTGTGGCAGAATATCAAGTTCCTACAGTATGTATAAACTATGTTTATACATATTTATCACCAGCAGAATGATAGGAATAAGTAGACTTTGATAGGAAGGGTACTCTGAGCTATTGACTTCAGTGTCATCACTCCTGATTTACAGTGCAGGAAGCAAGAGGTCAGATATCAAAAATTTTGCTTGATTTTTGCTTGATCCATCTGCACTGCATGTGCTTAGCAAACATTAAGAGTTTAGATTGTGAGATTGAATCTTCTTTGAGAAAGAGGTAGCTCACTGTTGTATTATCCTTAGAGCCAAGGAAAGCTGGGATTCATGAAGCCTATGCTTCCTTCTCAGTGTTCTGACAAAACAATTTATTATGGCCCAATTATATCCTGTGTAGCATGGGTGTTAGTCTATAAAATAGCTGAATGCTTTTGAAAGAATTTTACCTCTCATCTTTTCCAGTATGCACCAGCTGCTTCACTGGGTTACTGATAGGAACTTCTGTCCAGTGTTTTAGGGGATGTAATTGTTGACTGTCTGAGCTGCATTATGTATGTGTCTCAAGACTGTGAAGGCATATTATGGTGGGAAGGGTCACTCTTGCTGGTGAATTCTAGCAAGTAATCAGTGGCTATTTGCACCTTGAGTATTGTGCATCATTCTGGTTCCCTACTCCCAGTCAGAATATAGTGGAATTGGACAAAGTTCAGATAACGGTAACAAAAAAGATCAAACAGTGAGATGAGTTCCACATGCAAAGCAACTAAGGGCTCTTCAATCTGAAAAAGCAAAAACTTATGGGAATTTGAGAGAAGTCTGTAAGATCACAAGTGACCCAGGCAAGGATGGATAATTTCATGCCTTTGCAGTACAAGAACATACTAAATTTGTAGGAACCAGTGTCAAAGCAAGTAAAAGGAAGTGGTTCTTCAACAGTATGTGACTCCTTGCCAAGTACTGTGGATGTGAAAAGCTGGCATAGGTTCAAGAGGTCGATGAACACATATGAGGAAGAGAAATCCACTGAGAGTTGTAAATTATACAGAAACCACACTGAGCTCAGAAGCTCCCTGAGCTGAAAATAGTTGGTGGCTAGGAGAGTAGTAGTGGAAATTAAACGCTTGCCTTGTTTTTACTCTTCCCTTTGCATCTGCTTATGGCCTTTTTGGGGTTAAGTTACTGAGGACATTTGTTCTGGTCTGACCTCTCCTAGATATTCTTATATTGTATTATTCTTAACAGAACACTGTTAACACGTGAGATGTGTGACTTTTCAGTACATGTCCCCTCAAGTTTGGGGTTATATGGTTATTATGGTTTCATAATACAGTTGAACTGATCCAGTGTTTGCTGCTCCCGTAAGGGAGTGATTTTTATTTTTATTTTTTTATTTTTTATTTTGGAGTGTTAGCCTCCTGTGAGTTTAGCTGCCTAGACTGCAGCAATGTAGTCAGACATGGACCACTGCCGTTTGGGGCCCGTTCCATCAGCTAAATGTGTTATCTGTCTGCACACTTCATGTAACTGAAGATCAAACTAGGAGCTTGAAGTAAGGTCTCTTGATTCACAGACTGGCGCCACAACGTCCTTGAAAGGCATACCATTCTGTTGTTTTGGCACCTTCTCCCAAATCAGGGGCTGATACTTAAAATCTGTTTTCGTTAAAGGTGTGTGTGTGCTGTGGGAGGCACGCACGGTTGCTGTAAGCCTTGTCTGGCAGTATGCTGTGCAGATACGATGTGGTGACATCAGCTTTCTGAGGAGGAACGCTGGCGACTGGCTTCTTGGTCTGCTGCAACCAAAGCTCACTCTCTCTTCCAGCTATTAATCTCCTCTGACTCCTTGCCTTTTAGCAGTGCTTGCTACTGTGTGCAGCTGGAGGTGGCCTTCAAACTGACTCACACTAACTAAACCTCACAACTTCTCTGAGGAAGAGGCAAACATTACTATCCCATTTTACAGTTGTCACAGAAGCACTGACGCCCTGACTGAGTAAAAAGTTCCACACATTTGAATTAAGTGAGCAGGCAAGTGCATGAGATGTGCAAGGCTTTAAATCTTAAGCACACTTTGGATATGCTTTCTTTATTAGACAGCATTATTTCATCTCTAATGGTGATTTGAAAGAGAGCTCAGTGTAAGTCTTCC